TCTACATCTTCTTGCTGGTGCAGAGAGCAATTTTAAATGTATACAGATGTTTTTGTCTGCATACATGTACATATGTATACCATGTACATGCATTGTACCTTCCAAGGCCAGGAAAGGGGGCTGGAAAGATGTCTCCGCAGCTTAGAGCATTGTTCCAGAGGACCTGGGTTCAATTCCCAGCACCCACACGATGGCTCACAAACATCTGCAACTCCAGTTCCAAGGCTGCCGACACCCTCTTCCGACCTCTATTCACATCATCATATGTGTGAACAACATTCACACACATTTTTAAATAATCTTTTTATTTTATTTTATTTTATTTTGGGTTTTTTGAGACAGGGTTTCTCTGTGTAGCCTTGGAGTCTGTCCTGGATCTAGCTCTTGTAGACCAGACTGGCCTAGAACTCACAGAGATCGGCCTGCCTCTCCCAAGTGCTGGGATCAAAGGCGTGTGCCACCACTGCCCAGCTAAATAATTTTTTCAAAGGAATCAGATCACCTACAAGGGGAGAACCAGACCCTTGGAAATGGAACTACAGTTGTGAGCTGCCGGGTGGTGCTGAGAAACGTGATCTTAGCCACCATGCATCTCTACAGCCCGTATATGGTCAGTTTTAAACATTTTCTCCTGCTGCGTGCACCATGGTGGCATACACCTTTAGTCCAACACTCGGGAAGCAGAGGCAGGCTTGGCCTACAGAGCGAGTTTCGGGACAGCCAGGACTGTTATATAGAGAAACCTTGCCTCAAATAAACAAACAAAAAAACTTTTTCCTGACAGATAGCGGTGGCTTATGCCTTCAATCCTAGCAGAGGCAGAGGTAGTCAGATCTCTGAGTTCCAGGCCAACCTGGTCTACAGAGTGAGTTCTAGGACAGCCAGGGTTACATAGAGAAACTGTGTCTCAAAAACACAGAAGCAAAAAACAAACAAACAAACAACAACAACAACAACAACAAAACACAACTCTTTCCATTGATTGCTCCAAAGCTACCTCCTCCAGGTTTGATCTGCAGCGAAGATCTCAGGTCTTCTCGAGGTGGCATAGTCCCTACTGAATAACAGGTGCCATTGATTCTTCTTGATGAAGGAACCCTTCACAGCTGGCAGGCATCCGAGTGGAAAACACTGGAAGGGAGAGCCTGGAGGCATGCAAGCCTTGCAGTCAAACATATCCAAAATGTTTTTTCAAGGCAGGGTTTCTCTGTGGCTTTGGAGGCTGTCCTGGAACTAGCTCTTGTAGACCAGGCTGGTCTCGAACTCACAGAGATCCGCCTGCCTCTGCCTCCCGAGTGCTGGGATTAAAGGTGTGCACCACCAACCCCCAGCTTATTGTTGTAATGTGCATTGTTACCTTCCCTGCATTTACATCTGTGTAAGTGTGTCAGATCTTGGAGTTACAGACAGTTGTGAGCTGCCGTGTGGGTGCTGGGAATTAAACCTGGATCCTTTGGAAGAGCAGCCCAGCCAGTGTTCTCAACCACTGAGCCATCTCTCAAGCCCCATGAGACAGGGTCTCTTGTAGTCCATTCTGGCCTGAAGCTAACTTTGTAGCTGAGGTTGGCTTGAATGCCTGATTCCTCTGCCTGTTCTTCCCAAGTGCTGGGATTACAAGTGTGTATCAACAGGCTTCTGTCTCCTGGCGTTTAGACCTTGCTCTCTGGGATCCAGGTCTCAGTTTCCAGCCCGGAAAAAAAAGCAGCATTGTGGATGGATTTCCAATGGGGTCTGGTGGCACTTTGCTGCCCTCTGGTGGCAGTGTGTAGTACTCTAGGTCCACCTGTGAGGAGGAGACTCCAGAGGTGAAAAAAAGGCGGGCTTCAGCCTTGAGAAGACACTATGCAAACAGCCCTACCAGGATTTCATCCCATCCGCCATGACTCCCATCAAGGCTCAGGCCCTCAAAGATCAAGGGAAGGATTGTTCCGGGGTTTAAGCTTCTGGACAGTGACTTGGGGGAAGGCTTAAGTGAGGGTGCTTTTCTTAGGACCAGATGTTATTAGGGAGTGGGGTTGATTCGATGATTACATTTTTTTCCTCAAGACAGAGTTTCTCTGTGTAACAGCCCTGGCTGTCTTGGAACTGGCTCTGTAGACCAGGCTGGCCTCGAACTCACAGAGATCCTCCTGCCTCTGCCTCCAGAGTGCTGGGATTAAAGGCATGCGTCACCACCACCCAGCGCTGATTACATTTTTGAATAATATTGTTACAGTACAGGAATTGGACCCTACGACTTGTGCATGCTAGGCAAGCATGCTTGCTATAAGTGACGCCCCCAGCCCCACAAGTGGCTTCTAGGCAAGTGCTCTACCACTGAGCTTGGTGTTTAGAGATGGCTCACTTTGAACACGGGTTGATATGGAACTTGCTCTGTAGATCAAGCTGGCCTTGAACTCACAAAGACCCACCTGACTCTGCCACCTGAGTGCTTGGATTAAAGGTGTCTGCCATTATGACCGATGTCCTTAATTTTTTTTTTTTTTTTTTTTTGGTTTTTCAAGACAGGGCTTCTCTGTATTGTTTTGGCGGCTGTCCTAGAACTTGCTTTGTAGACCAGGCTGGCCTCGAACTCACAGAAATCCGCCTGCTTCCACCTCCCTAGTGCTGGGATTAAAGGCGTGTGCCACCAACACCCGGCTTGTCCTTACTTTTTTGAGACAGAGTTTTGCTATGCAGCCCTAGCTGGCCTTGAATTTTCTATCCTCCTGCCTCTGCTTCCTCAAGACTAAGATTATGGCATGTACTGCCGTATTTTTGTTTGGGGAGTTTAGAGGATCAGCCTGTGCCTTTAGACAATACCCCATAGCCTGAGTAAGGCATGCCTCAGCAGTTCTCTCTGGAGCGGGGTTCAAAATCAGTGACTTGGCAGCTCCCAGTTTATGGTACCATGCTCCTCTGTGCTGAACTAAGTCACATGGCACTAACCTTTCTGCTGCCCCTAAAAGGTTATAAAAAAGAGCTGGGCGGTGGTGGCGCACGCCTTTAATCCCAGCACTCAGGAGGCAGAGGCAGGCGGATCTCTGTGAGTTCGAGGCCAGGCTGGACCGACAGCCTCCAAAACAATATAGAGAAATCCTGTCTGGTATAATTAAAAAAAAGGTTATAAAAAAGATCCTTCCTGGGCTGGAGAGATGGCTCAGAGGTTAAGAGCACTGACTGCTCTTCCAGAGGTCCTGAGTTCAATTCCCAGCAACCACATGGTGGCTTACAACCATCTACAATTCAATCTGGTACCCTCTTCTGGTAGAACACTGTATATGTAATAAATAAATCTTTAAAAAAAAAAAAGATCCTTCCTTGGTTCTAGGAATTTGGTCACTCCTGGGGGCAGGAGGATTTGCTGGGAAAGATTATTCTGAATGCTATTTTCTAAAGAGGCTTCTAAATGCACACACATACACACATGAACACACACACACACATACATACATGAACACACACACACACTTGAATGTACACACACACGCTATCCCTCCTCATGACCTCCTTCCCTGTTCCCATCTTTCTCTTATTCCCAGTTTTAATGATGCTCCTCTCCAGGCTCCAGAGGGCACCCTTAAGACGCCATGGTGTTCAGAACTCCATGTACCATATTATCTCTGTCTAATGCTCTCCCTCCCTTCTGCAGGCCCAGTCAGCTTCGAGGCCCTTTCCTTATAATAAGCCTCTTGAAAGGACTGGTTTTAGATTCCTTAACTACAAACTAGTGTCGTTATCAGCGCATCTTTTATTATCTGGAGCTAACACAGCACCTCACATATGCTCCAAAGAACATTCTGTCCCTGGACAGCCCCAGCTGTACGGCCACCTTCCCCTGAAAGCCTTGGAGTGAGTTCCTGACCAGCTCCTAGACTGGAGTGGCCGTTTTCTTCATTCTCAGAAAGGCTCACATACTCACATACTCAGCCTTGACTGGTGGCCCTGAGTCTTCAGAGTGGCCAAGACAATCGGGCTTGTCTCAGGAGTTCAGGTATGTGTTTGTGCTGTGGTATAAGGAATGGGGTGTGAGGTTAGACACAGAGGCTAACACCTCTAATCCCAGAATTTTGGAGGTAAACATGGCAAACACAGCTCTGGTAGGACTTGCCCTTCCCCCCATGCCCTCTGTCTTGTTAAAAACCTTTAGATTGCATCCCTAAGGCTGCCACCAAGGGCTTACTACCTTATCTGGCCTCTTCCTCCTCCTGAGGCTGACTACCAAGGCCCAGCTACCAAAGTATTGAAGTTCGGCAATCAGATGCCCCCTTTGGCTGCCCTAAATAACATGCTCAATTAAAGCTAAATAGCTCATCCTAACGCGGGGGTTCCCCCTTTTCCTTTATAAACCACCATATGCCTATGGGCCACATCTCTCTCCTCTCTATCCGGAGACAGTCCTTTGTCATTGTCGCGGTCCCCAAATATCCCTTCCCCCTTCTCCCTTTCCTCTATACCCTATCTTTGTCTCTTATTCCCTGCCCTCTGGGGCAAATACGTCCCATCGGTGCTGAGAACTTGGTCTTGGGGTGTCCTATACTGGCCCCTACAGAGGCAAGGATTATCAGGAGGAGAGAGAGGGAGAGGAAACGGAGGGAGGGAGAGCCCGCTAAGTCAAATAGCTCTCCAAGACAGAGCCCAGGGGCAGGCAAACCCAGGAGGGAAGCGCTGAGGACCACACAAGCTGCGCAGAGCCCTTGGGGATCTGAGAGGTCGCCTGGGGCCGGGTCACTCATCACGAAAGGCCGCTGCTTCCCCTGGGCATGAGGGTCGGGCAGCCCTGATCTGTTTTGAAACGAGAAATGAAATTACGCCCTGATTTGTTTTGAAACGAGAAATGAAATTACGCGGCCGCGACCAGACTTAAGCCGCACCGGCCTCGCGCTCATGAATATTCAGGAAGCCGGCGAGGCCTCCTGACGCCGCCGCCTCCTCCCCCGGCTGCCGAGAGTGCGCGCCCGCGCCCGCGCCCGCGGGAGAGCCGCCCGGTCCAGGGAGTGCGCGTGCGCGGCTGGCGCGGTCTTCTGTCGTCATCAGGACGGGCGGCCGCCGGAGGAAGTCAGAAAGCTGCTATGGCGAGTCCTGTTGCCGCCTCTGTGAGGCCGCCCAGGCCCAAGAAGGAGCCGCAGACGCTCGTCATCCCCAAGAATGCAGCCGAGGAGCAGAAGCTCAAGCTGGAGCGGCTCATGAAGAACCCGGTGAGGCCCCTCCGGACTCGGGAACGCCTGGGGCGGAGAAGGCCGCCCTTGCCCCGCAGCGCCGCTGCGGGAAGGATGCTGGTCCAGCCCCTGCTGCTTCTTAGTTTTCTCTCTGCGGCGCTGAATCGGCTCTGCGGTGTAGGCAGCCCTCAAACTTTGGGTCCTCCCGCCTTAGGTCCCCAACTAGCCCCACACCGCTATTCTAGGTTGTATCACAGCCCTTGCTGGTTTTAATTCTAATAAGCATAAGAGCGGTCGAAGCTGGGCGTGATGGTGCACACCTGTATAATCCCAGCACTCTGGTGGCTGACACGGAAGAGTGTGCAAATTCCAGGCAAGCCTGGTCTGCGTACTGAGTTTCAGGCCAGCGACACGGTGAGACCTATCTCAAAAACCAACAAAAAAACAATCTATGCCTTAGGGAATTGCTCAGCTCCTCTGAAGGGCGCCCATTATTAAAGAGGCGTTGGCCAACAAATTTGGAGCACATCACTCTTTAACTCCCAATCCGGCTTCGTATAAACACCTGAGAAAGTCTCATATCTTTGCCAAGAAGAGGTTGGCTCTCCCCTCAGTGACTTAGATTCCAGACTTGTGTACGGTGGGAAAGTGGTAGCCCGTGTTAGACCCCGTGGCTTACAGGATGAAGCAAGCACAGGGTGGAGGATGAACATTCAGTCAGCCGGTTGGAGGAGCCTGCTCATTTGTGTTTGGTCGCAAGAGCCATATTGTCCTCAGCAGGTGTGCGCTTACAAGTGCTTTTCTGTTTAACTGTTGCAGGACAAAGCAGTTCCAATTCCAGACAAGATGAGCGAATGGGCTCCTCGGCCTCCTCCAGAATTTGTCCGAGATGTCATGGGTACTGTCTTCTGTCTTTTTTTTTTTTTTTTGGTTTTACGAGACAGTGTTTCTCTGTATTGTTTTGGAGGCTGTCAGTCCAGCCTGGCCTCGAACTCACAGAGATCCGCCTGCCTCTGCCTCCTGAGTGCTGGGATTAAAGGCATGCACCACCACTGCCCGGTACGACCATACTTTTTAAGGGGAAATATGAAACACTATTGTTGATACTTGTCAACTAAATTTTTGATAGGAAAAATTTTGTCTTTACAGTGGAGGAGTGCTGTGTTTGTGGTTTGGCACTAGGTAATGGTTGCCCAGTTATTCTTAGGTAGTTTTGTTTCTTTCATTTTATTCAGAGGCCTTAAAAGGTTGGTATAGACTGCAGAGGTCCACCTGATCAGACAAGCTAGTCAGGGAAGGTCTCCCAGGCTTCCTTTAGCTAAAGGTATTGATTTATTTTCTGAGATAGAGGCTTACTATGTAGCCCAGGCTATACTTGAACTCATAGTGCTTAAGCTAGGGAAGAAAGAGTTTACTCGGCTTGCACTTTCCACATTGCTGCCCATCACCGAAGGAGGTCAGGACAGGAACTCAAGCAGGGCTGGAACCTGGAGACAGGAGCTGATGCAGAGGCCAGGGAGGGAGCTGCTCACTGGCTTGAAGATTATGGTTTGCCCACCCTGCTTTTTTATAGAACCCAAGACTTCCATCCCAGAGTTGGCACCACCCACAAAGGGCTGGGCCCTCCATCAATCACTAATTTTTTTAAAGATTTATTTATTCATTATGTATTCAGTGTTCTGCCTGCAGGCCAGGAGAGGGCGCCAGATCTCATTACAGATGGTTGTGAACCAACTCTCCAGTCCCCTTCAATCACTAATTAAGAAAATGCCCCACAGCCAGTTTTTTTGTTTTTGTTTTTGTTTTGTTGTTTTGTTTTTTGTTTTTTTGAGACAGGGTTTCTTTGTGGCTTTGGAGACCACAGCCAGATCTTATGGAGGCATTTTCTCAAGTGAGGCTCCCTCCTCTCAGATGACTCCAGCTCGTGTTGGGCTGATGTAAAACTCGCCAGCACAATGATCAACCCTCTTCTGGCGTCTCCCGGCACACACATGCACCCACAGACACCTACATTACACATAAACAAAAGGACTTCGTGGAGCCAGGTGGAGAAGAGGCTTGGCTTCTTCTCAGCTTTGTCCCTGACTTGCGAGTGCTCCCTCCCTCCCTATGCCTCAGTTTACCTCAAGGCTGACCAGACATGGTCAGTCAGTTCTCCGCCTGAGTCTGATATTCAAGTGGCAGCTTACCCAGACAGACAAGATGCGGCTCCCCTTCCCTCATTGACTTATTTGTCTTCCTTTGTCCCTCGTGCTATGTTTAGGATAAACTGTTTCTATGTGGTCATTTATGTTTTGGGGTTTTTTTTTTTTTTCTTTTTGTTTTTCGAGACAGGGTTTCTCTGTAGCTTTGGAAGCTGTCCTGGAACTCACTTTGTAGACCAGGCTGGCCTCGAACTCACAGAGATCTGCCTGCCTCTGCCTCCCGAGTGCTGGGATTAAAGGCGTGCGCCACCAACGCCCGGCCATTTATGTTTTTGTAACCCACTTCCTTTCACTTGCAGTATCAGACATATTTTTTTCAACTGTGAGGAATCTGGCCTGTCACTTGTGAAACTGTGGAGGAAGCTGAGTCTTCTCTAGAGGGCTGGTTGTTAGACCACAGTCTGATCCTCCTCTTGCTGTCACATGGGAATGTGGTTTTGTTTTGAGCCGAGGGTTTGCTGTGTAGACTAAGTTGGTCCTGAACTCTCAGTCCTCCTGCCTCAGCGCACTGGGATTATGGCTTGTAGTACTACTGCTTGGTTGGAGTGGGATTTCCTGCGACTTCACAGTCAGTATTCATACAAGGCATTTGCTAGTACTACAGCGTGCTGCGTGCTGTCCTTGCTGAGTTACAAGTAGAAAGACCCAGTGCACACAGTACCTTGAGCTTGAGTTCTTGTGTCTAGTCTCAGGGGTTAATGCCGCTTCTGGTGGTAAATGGATCCCTTCTCTCCTTTTCTCCCTCCCCATTTTGTAGTCCTGGAGATTAAATCGGGACCTGCGCCTGCCAGGCAGATGCTCTGCTAGTGTTCTATCATTAGGCCTGACAGCCGAGTTTCATCTAGAATTCTGGACTGTTCTGCTCTAGGTTCCAGTGCGGGAGCCGGCAGTGGAGAGTTCCACGTGTATAGGCACCTCCGGCGGAGAGAGTACCAGCGGCAGGACTACATGGATGCCATGGCTGAGAAGGTTCGTGAGCCGTAGAACCCTGTACTCGGTCAGACTTGGCGATTCGAGCTGTTCACACTAGAAGAGGCTGTGTAGGAGTCTTCCATGTATATGAAAGGGCACCACAGAGTCCCTCCTCCCTTCCCCAGGCCATTTGTCATGGGATGGGACAGCGAGTGGGGGCTTCTACACCACTGGGGTTGCTCCTCTCTTCTCTCTGTTGGGCTGTCTCATGCAGTTCGCTGTGGTTGGTGTGGATAGTAGTGTGTGTTCAGTGCCTGGTTCTCGGGGATTTTAGTTTTCTTGGTACTTATATTTCCTCATGAATTTTAATAAGAGTTTAAGAATTGCTTTAGCTCGAGGCCAGCCTGGTCTACAGTGCAAGTTCCAGGACAGTCTCCAAAACAATACAGAGAAACCTTGTCTCAGAAAAAAAAAAAAAAGAATTGCTTTAGGCCTTTAATCCCAGCACTTAGGAGGCAGAGTCACGTGGAACCCCCTGTCTTTATTGTACTGCTGTAGAGTTAACCCTTAATAACTCTGCCTAGCACGATAGGACTTGCTGCTGGGCTCGGTCCTCTACTCTCCCTTCTGCTGAGCGCAAGTGCAGGCCATCGGAGCTACCCTTTCCTCAAAGAGTCTCCTGACTCATTCTCGTTCATTCATAGTCTCCCTCTCCCTCTCTCTCTCCCCCCCCCTCTCTGTCTCCCTCTCTCCGTCTCCCTCCCCTCCTCCCCTTCCCTCTCCCTGCCCTGTCTCCTCCTTTCCCCTCTGTACTTCTCCCTTCCCCCTCCAGCCCATTCATGGTGTGCACCCACACCCGTTCCCTCCCTAATTTCTCTTGCAGGGTTTATCTTACACACGTGGTGTCGCTGTAAACACTGTTATTTTGCCATCAGAGAGTTGTGTATTGGGTGCCTGTCCCTCCTGGGAGATCTTTTGTTTTTTTTTTTTTTTTTTTTTTTTTTTTGGTTTTTTCGAGACAGGGTTTCTCTGCATTGTTTTGGAGGCTGTCCTGGAACTCGCTCGGTAGACCAGGGTGGCCTTGAACTCACAGAGATCCGCCTGCCTCTGCCTCCTGAGTGCTGGGATTAAAGGCGTGTGCCACCAACGCCCGGCTCCTGGGAGATCTTTTAAGGTGGACTTGGCCCCGGAGACTGGGTGCTGCCTGTGGCACTCTTCATGGTGTGCTTGTGGGGCTTAAACTCTAAGTCTGTGCAGTCCAAGGTAGGTCTGGGTGATGATTTGTTTTGTTTTTTCAGCAAAAACTGGATGCAGAGTTTCAGAAGAGACTGGAAAAGAATAAAATTGTGGCAGAGGAGCAGACCGCAAAGCGCCGGAAAAAGCGGTAAGAGCTTCTGTGCTCTGTGGCCTGCAGCCTGCAGGTGGGGAAGGGCATGGTGGGTAGTGAGCCAAGTCCTTCTGGGCCAGAGTTCATAGCAGCCGGTGCTAGTGTGACAGCGTGTCCCAGTCACTAGGTAGGCCAAGGCACAAGAATTGTTTGAGCCAAGAGCTCAAGACCAGCCTGAGCCAAATGGCAAGACCCCATTGAAAGCAGGACTGGTGACGGCTCAGCAGGCCGAGACGCTCGCAGCCTGACATCCAACCCTAGAGCCTGCATGGAGGCTCTCAAAAGTTGTCCTCGCGCTGGGCGTTGGTGGCGCACGCCTCTAATCCCTGCACTTCAGCTCCAGAGGCAGGCAGATCTCTGTGAGTTCAAGACCAGACTGGTTCTCAGAGCAAGTTCCAGGACAGCCAAGACAGAGAAGTTGGGGGCACTAAAAATTTAAAAAGTTGTCTTCTGACCTCCATACATGTGCCAGTCACACACACATCATGCATAACACTCCACAGACATAGCTGGGTGTGGTGGCCTCCATGGACACTGAACTGAAGTGTACATACCCACACTCATATACACACAATAAAATGAATCTTTAAAAAAATAAACCCTCGCCAGGCAGTGTTGATGCACGCCTTTAATCCCAGTGCTCAGAAGGCAGAGATGGGTGGATCTCTGAGTTCGAAGCCAGCCTGGTCTACAGAGTGGCTAGGGATATACAGAGAAATCCTATCTCCAGAAACCAAAGAAAAGAAAAAGAAAAAAAAAGAAACCCTCAGTTGGGTGGTGGTGGCGCACGCGTTTAATCCCAGCACTTGGGAGGCAGAGGCAGGCGGATCTGTGACTTTGAGGCCAGCCTGGTCTACAGAACAAGTTCCAGAACAGCCTCCAAAACAATACACAGAAACCCTGTCTCAAAAAATCAAAAGAAAAAAGAAAAAAAAGAAACCCTCAAAACGTAAGAAAAAGTTCACTTGTGTACTCTGCGGGGGTCTGGGTAGGAGTGTCCTAAGATGAGCAGCACTGAGGAACGATTTCCTGCATTACCTTGAAGCCCCACATCCCTCACAGCCCTTCATCCTGTTTCAGATCAAAGGGCAAGCTGAACTTCGACTCTGTGGGATTCCATGTCTCCCATCATTTCCGCATTTTGTTTTTGTTTGCTTTCTGAGATAGTCTTGCTGTGTAGCTTAGGCTGGCCTTCAACACTCTTCCCTATGCCTCAGTTTCCTTTCTGCAATAGAACATTGTATTTTTGAGACTCTTGTAACCAAACTTTGCATGTGACCTTTTTTTGGAGACAGGGTTTTGCTATGCATCCCAGGCTGGCCTTGAACTCTTGATTTTTCTGCTTAGCCCCACCAAATTCTGGGAATACAGATATAAGCCACCACTCTCAGCCTACTCCTCAGAGGAGTTTGATCCTGACTTACTTAAGTGAAAGTGGTTGATAGTGACAGACCAGCAGAATCGCTTTTTAAGTGTGTGTGGGTCTGTGCGTGTGAACACGAGTGCTCATGGGGCGGGAAGAGAGTTGCAGGCGGTTATGAGTTGCCTGACTCAGATGCTGGGAGCTAAACTCAAGTCCTGTAAGTGCTGAGCTGTCTCTCCAGCCCACCCGGTTACAAAGGCAGCACAAATCAGTGTTATTCCAAAACACCCACTAGGTTAACCACTATGTATGTTTCCGTGTAGCCAGAAGTTAAAAGAGAAGAAGTTACTGGCAAAGAAGATGAAGCGTGAACAGAAGAAACAGAAGGAAGGTGAGTGGTGACCACATTTCTCAGTGCCAGTCGCCATTGCTGAGGTGACAGTGGCAGCTAGCCTGTGGTAGCAAAGACTCATTGTTAACTGTGTATGTCATGTCAGAAAGCCACATGACTGAGCCAGGCATGGCGACACACACCTTTAACCCAGCACTGGGGAGGCGGAGGCAGAGGCGGGTCTCTGTGAGTTTGAGACCAGCCTGGTCTACATAGTGAGACCCTGTCTCAAAAAAAAAAAAAAAAAGGCAGCATGACCGGCTTGAGCAGAAAGGAGAAGGGCTCCTGGTTACCCGTGTCATCCCCTCTGTGCCTGTCCTCACACTGCCTGTGGTCTTCAAGTGCCCAACTGCCCTCCAGTTGTTCCCCACCGAGCCTCCTTTTCTTTCCCAGGAGGAAGGATTGAAGTAGTGTCTCAGCATTGAAGCCTTTTGCTTTGTGGTTATGTATGCAAACATATATTCACGTGTGTTTGTACATGTGTGCCCGTGGAAGCCAGAAGCCAGTGTCAGGTTCCTGTTGGATCGCTCTCCACCTGATTTGTTGTGGCAGTCTCACTAAAGCTTGCTGACAAGCCTCAGGGACCCTCCTTTCTCTCTCTCCAGAGCTGCCATGCCTACTCTTTCCATTGGCGCCAGGGTCCAGACTCGGGTCCTCATGCTCTTAAGGCAAGCACTTGTACTGAATGCCCCATCTTCTGACCCTCTTGTTTGTTAGCTTTGAGACAGGGTCCAGGTGGCAGCCTGGCTCATCTCACGGGACCCGACACTCCTGGCTCCACCCCCTAGGTGCAGGGTTGGTTCTCCCCTCTACTGTTGAGTTCGGGGATCAGACTGAGGTCGTCCAGCAGGACAGCAACTGAGCCAGCTCTGTCAGTTGTGGTTTTGGTTTTGTTTGACTATTTGTTGTTGGTTTTGCTTGAGGTGAGTCTCGTAGCTCACGCTGGCCTCGCACTTTGCCCCTCCTCACCTCTGCCTCCCAAGCTCTGATTACAGAGCTGCTCTGTTACGTGCAGTGTGTGTGTTTTAATTCTCTGTGTCCCTTCAAGCTGCTGTTGTAGGGATTCCTGTACAGGCTGCTTTCATGGTCTGCTTTATACCTAGCACCTTACATGAGAAGTGGGAGCATCCCAGCCTAGATGCCCCTTGACTCTTGCTAATCCTCTGTTCATTTGGATAGTTCCTAGCCATGCCCCCTTAGGCTGTCCTCTCTGACGTCTCCTGTGGCTGAGCCATCTTGTGAGCTTGTTTCGGTGACAGTGATAAGGAAGTTCTAAGCGCTTCCGTGAGGTTCCGATTCATGCTTTCCATCTCTTTGCTGCACCTTTACCCTCCCATTCGTTTTAATGTTTTTTTATTTTTGTTTTCTTACTTTGAGACGAGGTCTCTCTATGTAGCCCTGGCTTTCCTGGAACTCACAGACCGGGCTGGCTTTGAGCTCACAGAGATCCACTGAGTGCTAGGGTTAAAGGAGTGTGCCAGCCCGACCATCCATGGTTAAAGGAGTGTGCCAGCCCGACCATCCATGGTTGCCTTCCATTTCTTTCAAGACTGGGCCACTCCTACATCCCGGAAAAAGTTCCAGGTGCTGTCTTAGTTTGCTTCCTGTAGCTGTGATAAAACACCATGGTCAAAAGCAGCTTGGTTTATTTCATTTACAGTCAGTTGTACTCCATCACGAAGGGAACCAGAATTGGAACTAAGCAGGAGCTGATGCAGAGGTCATGGAGGAGTGTATCTTACTGACTTGCTGTCTGTGGCTTGCTCAGCCTGCTTTCTTATACATCAGGACCACCTGCCCAGGATGACACTGGTCTGTCTGGGCTTTGGTCCCTAGTTTGCGAAGGTCTTGTCTTTTGTTGTTTTCTTACACCAGTTGAGCTTTTTGGCTCTTCAGAAGCCAAGTCATTTTCTAGTGTATCCTGGGCTTTTCGATTGGCAACTCTCAAGGCTTTGGTCTTGTTTCTTTTTCTAGTAGGTCATTAAGTTGGCTGTGTTCAGCGAATAGGTTCTGGCCCTCCTTGTGGTTTGTGATTCTGCCTCCAAGACACTGTGCTCTCCAGGTATGACTCAAGAGTGCCACCCAGTGGCCAATCTAGGTTAGGTTTTTTGTTTTTTGTTTTTTGTTTTTTTAGTTCAGTAGCTAGTATAAAGGACCTCATGTTAAAACTGCTGTCGTGGTAGAGCATGCATACTAAGGTCTATCCTTTCAGTAGAACTGTGAAGTGCCAGGGAAATATAAGATTGGCTGTTGTAGTTGTGGTGGTGGTGGTGATGATGATATTTTGTTGCTGCTGCTGCTGTATGTGTGTGCTAGTCAGGGTCTTGCTCTGAACCTAGTGGGCCTGAACTGTATAGCACGTGGCTACTTTGTTTTTATTTATTCTGGCGTGTGTGCATGTGTGTGTGTGCATGTATGTGCACATGTGTACATGCGTGTGCAGGTGTGTGTGTGTGTGTGTGTGCAGGTGTATACGTGTGTGTGCACGTATATTCACAGGCTCCACACGGTGGTCAGAGGACAGCTTTCAAAAGGCTGGACATGGTTGTGATGGGAGTAGACAGTATTAAGCAATTACTTAGGCAAGACATGGTGTACTTACCACTAATCTCAGCACTCAGGAGGCAAAGGGAAACCCACCTCTGTGAGCTCAAGGCCAGCCTGGTCTACATAGTAAGTTTCAGGTCAGCCAGAGGTACACAGTGAGACCTTACCTCAAGAAGAAAAAAGAGTAAATACATAAAACTTGGGCTGGCCATGATGTCACATGCCTTTATTCCTAGCACCTGAAGAACAGGGGTGGAGGGGGGGGGGGCCAACAAATCTCTGGGCAGCTAGAGCTACCTAGAAGACGTTGTCAGGAAAAAAAAGCCACGCTTGGGCTGAGGATGTGCTCCGTTGGTTAGTGCTTACCTGGCCTCCATTCCTGCACTGCACAAAACCAGGCTTGGCTATGGGCATCCAATCCCGCCCTCGCCATGTGGAAGCTGGAGGCTCAGACATTCAAGGTCATTCAGGGCTGCGCTGAATAAAGTCTGTCACTGGTGCAGTGTGTTGGATCGCCTGTGCATATCCGAGCTGGCTGTATGCGCTGTGTGTTGACCAGAGCAGAAATGAGTCTGGGGGTCTTCAGCAGTGACTTACATGCCTTTCTCCCTGCCGTTTCCCATTATTTCCTTGTTTTCCGTCTTGTGAAGAGAAGCGTTTCTGGTTGCTTGGGCGAAATGAATAGAATTCAATGTAGTGTTTCAGGGTTGCCACAAGGTGGCCCCAGTGCACCATGAGGCTCCTACGGGGTTGGCCCTATTCCGGACAGTCTTTGGTTCTAAGGCCACGTTCTGTGCTGTGTAGTAACTCAGTCACCCCTGCAGCGTGGGGCTTGTGTCTGAGTGACAGCACTGGGTTGGCCATGAGCCATTTTGGATCCTTCTGAGTCCCTGCGCTCCCAGTGGTGCCCTCATGACGGTTTCCCTTCTCTGACACATCATAGTGGACACAGCTAGAGCTCGTTCCCAGCCTCAGTTCTGCCTACAGCTCGGGCAGGGTTCTTCTCCTTGTGGGATCAGCCACTGTCTAGTCATCAGAAGCAGCTGCTTCCTCTTGTGTCTCCTGGCACTGCTAGATGTCCCTAATCAGAAGGGCACAGAGTTAATTCCTTTTGAGTTAGAGATAGTCATGGAGGCGCTCGGTCCAGATGGCACCTCGTGTCTGCTCTGGACCAATGTTCAGAGCCACAGACTTCAGTGTAGTGGACTGGGGGCTGCCCTGCCTTTGTGTTCTTTGACCATGAAGCCGCTGGACTCCCTGCTCGGGAACCTTTAGGGTACAGTGACGAGGACAAAGTGGAAAATAATAGTGACTGTAATCCTTACTAAAAATAATAGCATACATGCTTGTTCTTGCTTTCAGTTTTTTATGCTGTGCCTTATCCATGTTAGCAGTGGGAATTCTGTATCATAGGCAGTTTCCCATGACCTAGCAATTCCTTAGTACTAGGGCTTGGGGTAGGTTTCTTTGTTGGCTTTTTTCTTTTTTTCTTTATCCTGTCTAATTCATTTGGGGAAAAACAAAATTCAAAACCCCGTCATCTTCAGTTGCACCCAGTGATATAGGCGGTGACTCACACCTTTAGTCCCAGCACATGCAGAGGCAGGTGGATCTCTGTGAGTTCGAGACCAGCCTGGTCTACAGAGAGAGTTCCAGGACAGCCTCCAAAACAATACAGAGAAACCCGGTCTTGAAAAACAAACAAAAAGCAATGGAAGGATATAATTAAAAAGGAAATAAGTCAGGCCAAGTTTGGTGCTGGAATTCCAGCACTCAGGAAGTTTGAGGAGAGTGTAGATATTAAAAGATCCTGTCTCCAATAAACAAATCCCAAACGTCAAAATGCCCTCCTCCACTCTGTCTTTGTGTTATGTGGGAGGATTTTCAGGCGGGGTGGTCTGTGGCCATCTGAGTGAAGGTGGAGCACATAGGCTCCTACATCTGAATGCATCATCATTCGTCAGTTGGGACTATGTAAAGGGTTAGGGCGAGTACCCACAAAAGGACAGACTCCAAATCACAGAGAAACCCTGTCTCGAAACACCCCCCCAAAAAAGCTGGGCAGTGGTGGCGCACACCTTTGATTCCAGCACTCGGGAGGCAGAGGCAGGCGGATCTCTGTGAGTTCGAGGCCAGCCTGGACTACCAAGCGAGTTCCAGGACAGCCTCCAAAGCCACAGAGAAACCCTGTCTCGAAAAACCAAAAACCAAAAAAAAAAAAGATCATGGGGTGGGGGTGGAAGGAGTCGTTCATCTTTTCTGGTGGGGAAAGTGGTGGTAGGCAGTTTTGTTCTGCAAACGTCCTGAGCTGTGTGCCCATCACTGGTGGCTGTGACATTGCTAGGTGATGTCATCTGGTGGGCCCACCATCATACAGTGTAGTCTGTGCAGCCTGTGGAGCGGGTGTCCTGAGCAGTGACTGGACACGCCCACCTGTCCACCGTACGTTAATCCCGAGTGTTGACGCCTCCAGCTTTCGCGCATCATCAGTGGGTCACTCTAGCTCTGTCCACCTTACTGCCCGGCGTCCATCACGCTGTTCACTCCCAGCACGTGTTATACTGGTGAGTTTCTGCTCCCCTGTGGGAAGCAGCATTTACACCATGGCACAGAGGCTCTTTGCCTGTAGCTGTAGGCCCCTGGTTTCCAACACCGCCTGTCAGCACCACCCCCCCTTCCCAGAGACGCATGTGCAGGTCAGTTGGACTCTGCATTCCATCCTAATCCCTGGCCAAAGTGACTTTAAAGATGTACTTTTTAAAATTTATGTATGTCTGCACTTACGCATATCTAAGTATATGTAGACCCTGAGAAGGCCAGGGGAGGGCATCAGATCCAGTGGATTTGTTATTTTCTTTGTAAGATTTTTGAGTTTTATGTGTAAGTGTCTTGCCTGTGTGTATATATGTGCATCGCAGAGGTCCAAAGAGTGTGTCAGGTCCCCTGGAACTAGAGTTCCAGGTGGTTGTGACCCACCATGTGGTGCTGGGAGCCCGACCTGGTTCTCTGCAGCAGCATCCAGTGCTCTAACTCACCGTCTCCAGCCTCGTTCCAGCCTCACTTTGTCCAGTGTACAGCACTGTGAGTCCACGGGGGATATACGAAGTGTTCCGCTGCCCTGAAAAGTCCCTGCTGCGTCAGCTGGGCCCCTGTGCTGAGGACCTCCCCCGCCTCTTTCCAGCCAGCTCCCGCCCACTCCCCTGCTCTCAGGACAGGAGGAGGGGCTGGGGACAAGTTGTCTCTGTGCTGTTTTCTGGGCCAGCTTAGCTGTACCACGGCGCTAGCAGCAGTATTAGGATATGCTAGAAACTTAAGAGCTGCCCGTAGAGTAAGGGAAGAGGGTCCCTGGGCTGTGCTTGGGGAAAGCCAGGTCCTGAGTTTCCTCTTGCCACCCACATCAAGAACCTGAGGCTCAGGCAGGGAGTTGCAGCCCAGTGGAAGCTGTGGAGCGCCTGGGCATCTTTCATGGTGCCCATGTAAGTGGTGATGTGGACCATATACTCAGCAGGCCTGGCTCGTGGTATTGGGTTCTGATGTATATAGCCAGATCTTTTTGGTGAGGCTGAGATGCCCCTCTCAGAGCAATGCAGATTGCTTTTGTGGGATTGGGCGCTGGTGGTCACAATGGCTACCTCTGGCTCCCAACTGTTTCTGCCTAGGAATAAGAATACCCTTGGCTTTCTTCCTCTTTTTGAGACAGGGTTTGCTGCCCAGGCTAACCTCAAACTCACTATGTAGCTGAGGATACCCTTGAACTTGTTATCATCTGCCTCCCTTTCTAAAGTCCTGGGATTTTAAGTACAGTTTCTATACCTAGACTCTCTTCCTTATTTAAACCCCCTTGTCTCTCTATCAAATCTATCTGATTATTATTTGAATATTTTGTGGTTACAGAACCAAATCAGAGCCAAGAACAGCATGCCAGCAGTTCTGAGGAGACATCTGGGACAGAGGAGGAGGAAGAGGAGTCCAGTGTCATCCTGGGGCGATGAGGACGTGAGCCCAGCTCATTTTTTGACCAACCTGAGGCCCAGCTGCCAGACTGACTCCTGTATCCCTGCTTGCCTAGGGAACAGAGGGACCGTCCCCTAGACATTTGCAGATTGCCAACTGTGTCCTGCCTTACTGCTCTTGCCAAAGGGGAATGCCTCACCCTCCCCCAGTGCCTGTTCCCTTTTGCTTGAACAGTGATGACCTCTGGGCTAGTTTCTGTGATGGGAGTATTTATCTAGTAAAGAGCAGAAAACCTATAGGTTTTGTCCACACATGCGAGATGTTAATTACCAAAGCCTCAGAAAACCCATGAGGTGACGTAGAGACTGGGTCTTGAGATTTGGCAGGCCCGCTTTTGCAGACCTCCTTCCAGAGCTACCCAGACACATGGTCTTGGCCCTGGGAGAGGCCTGCACTCTGGGTGCCCGGCCCTGTCCCTTTGTGGAGCAGCAAACTCCAGCACTGAAGAGCTGTGCCTGCCCAGCAGCCCCCAGAGTGTGTGTGAGCCAACCAGGGCCCTCGGTAGGAGGCTGGGCAGAAGAGAGGCCCCAGGAAAACAACAGGTGATGGAAGAAAGCAGGGAGTGACCAGAGAGATGAGGGAGAGAGGCAGGTGCCGGCCAAAAGCCTTCCTCCCATCTTTAAGTCAGAGGTCTGAGCGGAGGAGGACTGGAGAGGGTGGGAAACCCTCCTGTCACCAGGATTTGGAGAGAGCAGTCCTCCCTCCCGCTGAGTGTCCTTAGCGACTGTGGTTCAGAGTGCACCAGCACCGTGCCAGGGGGACGACGGGCAGTTTGGAGCCCTGGCTCTGTCTGGGCGTCTGAGTGAAGGGAGCTGAGAGTGTCTTCTACATTTCGATGTTTAGCTGCTGTCTGACAGCTCGTACATGTGTGTGATGCACTTCGTACGCTTCCTCCATTCTCTTAGCCCAGCACACCTGCTCTCAGGTCTTGTTTTGGCATGGCATGCTGACTTCCGTTAGGGTCGCCTCCCCAGTGACTGCCACGGAAGGAAATGACTCCCTCCCCCTTCTTTTTACTTCTGTAGCAGATTCCCTGGTCCCACTCTGAGCCATGTGACATCTCTGATAACCCGCCCCTGTAGCCGTTTGAGTCACATAAGATCTTTGTGTGAGTTAGGACTAGACTGTGGTTTTGTCATTTGCTTTTAATTCTCCCTTTACCCATCTGTGGCAAGGCTTTTGCTTTGAACCTGCAGCCTAGACCTCATGGGCTTTTGCTCTGCTGGGAGAGGGCTGCTGAGGAGGAGGGTGGGGCCTGAAAGCCTTTCCCTCTGCTGCCTCAGAGCCAGGACAAGTCCCTTCCTGCCTCTGCCAGTTTGCCTGGCCTACCTAGAACCTCACTCAGCACATGTGTCCGGCAGCTTGGGAATGATTAAACAAAAGGATTCCGGGAGGAAGCATCTGGGGAGACGAGACGTTCCTGGTTAAGGGGTTATCGGTCTCTAGGTTCGCTGACTCTCGGTCTATCTTCAGACTGTTATTTGTTTGGGGAACTGGAGCAGTTAGGTGGCGTCACTGAGGCGGGTGGCTAATAACTGCCAGCCTCCCCAAAGCCACAAAGAGGAGGATAGTGCCATTATGTGCTTATTGAGGGTTCACGGGTGGAGAGAATCCTGGCAACGAACCCCAGGCCATATCATATACAGCACAACTGTCTCAGAAAGCCTGGTGAGTGTGGCCGTCTGACCCCAAACACTTAGTCTCCCCTCGGAAGCTAAGCACACTTCCTGGTCTCCTCAGGAGGAGCAAGTTTTACCTCTGAAGATCCCGATTTACCTACAAGGTAGGCCTTTTTCATTCATTCTCTTGGCAGATAGGTGCTAAGCACTTTGTGTGACAGCCTTGGAGTAGAATGTTCTTTGCCCTTCCATTAGCTTTCTCATGGAATTTCCCAAATAAGGGTTCTCCTGTTGCAAATGGTGGGACCGGGTTGGGCCAGCCAGTGTGACTAGGAACACTGGGGATGTGCTGTCCTGGGGAGACTTGTCTGGTGGCGTCACTTCAGCAGGGAAGGGTGCGGCCCTCCAGAGCCCAGAGAGCATCGCTGTTGGGCGACACTGCTCCCGGAGACAGGGTCTGCGAGGCTGGGGTTGGCAGGCCCCAGCAGTCCTCTTCTCTGACCTCCGCAGCACCGGGTTACAGCACACACACCTGGCTTTTTAGTGTGTGTGGGGATTTGAACTCATGTCCTCAGGCTTGCACAGCAAGCACTCTTACTCACTGAGCCATCTCCTCAGCTCTCATAAAATAGAATTGAGTAAAGGGCTGGAGAGATGCTCAGCAGTTAACAGCACCTGCTGCTCCTGCAGAGGACCTGGGTTTGGTTCCCAGCACCCACACGGCAGCCTGCAACCAGCCATTAGCTCCAGTTCTTGAGGACCTGTGCCCTCTTCTAGGCATGCATGGGTGCACATACATACATGTAGGCAGATAAAATACATGAAATCTAAAACAGTTAAAGAGTAGATTTGAGCGGAGCTGGCCCTCACTATTCATGGTTCCCTATTGTGAGTCGCCTGTTCACTAACCTCTGTAGCCCACAAACCCATACCTGCCGTGCCCGGCAACGCGTGTCCAGATGCGGCTGTAAGAAGCAACCCCACCCGTTGTTTCAGCTCATATAACCCTCTGTCTAACGGCCAGGGTTGTGTGCCTTTGGCTCTCTTGGCGGCATTGCTGTTGAAACGGTCTCCGCAAGTGTTGTGCTAGGATGCTGAGCAGTGTCCCTTAGAGCCAGGGTGGCTCTCTCCCTGACACAAATGGCACACCGGGAAGGAGGAGCTGGAGCGGAGAATCGCCTCCATCTGGTTGGCCCGGGGACGGATCTGTGGAGCGCCTGGTCCACCGTGGCAGTGCCGTCCCTGGCGAATGTGCCTGGGCTGTGTGAAGAAAGAAGCTGGATGAGCCAGTGAGCAGCGTCCCTGTGGTCTCTGCCTCGGCTCCCTTGGTGATGACGGGCTGTGAGCTGTGAGTCAAATAAAGCCTTCCTTCCCTGTGTGCTTTTGGTCAGGGTTAGTCACAGCAGGGAAGCGAGGAGCTGCCCCTTCACCTCACCCACGCCACTGGCCACTGCGGTCTTCCCTGCTCAGCCCCTGCGAGTTAGGTGACCCTGCCCTGCTCTGTCCACACCAGGTCCCAAGAGTGTCAAGTTACCTGGTACATTCTGAGTCTGAGGTCTCTTCCCCATTAAGATCCTCACACATGTTCCAGGGTCACTTAATGGTGTCCCAGGGGTGTATGACATATCCAAAGCCTACTGTAAGAGAAAAGGAAGCAGCTTAGGCATGTTCTTGCCATGGAAGGAAGCTGCGCCAGCATGCACACACTAACTTGGGGAGAGCAGGGTTGCGTGGTCCCAAACCTATGCCTCATGTCCCCATACATACTCTGGTGTCTGCCTGATGGGCTGGTGTGGCCTTTGATCACCATAGCCTGCCAGTCCCCGTCAGAAACCACAGTCTCACTTGCTCAGTCCCCACTGGCTTCCCTCAGTCTCAAACCCTCCCTGGTGCCAGCACCAAGTTCAGGACGTGAGAGTCAGTATCTGGGAAATGATTAAGGAAACCAGAGACTGACAGCCAAAGGGACCTTCTTCAAGCCTGACAGACTAATGTGTCAGGAAACTGCCAGGCAGTCGAAACACATACGCACAGCCATGGGAGGTGCCTGCTGCCAGACCTCATGACCTGGGTTTGACCCCCAGAATGCACGCTCAGGAAGGTGACCACCTTGTAATCCAGCACTTGGGAGGTAGAGGAGGGAGATCAGGGGCTTGTTTTAGAAAAGCCAGTAAGTATTCAGACTCCTAGTGATAACCTCGAGTTTTTGACTCGTTATAGTTCTGATGATGAGGGCAGGGGGATTGGAGAGAGTCCAATAATCAGGAGAACTGGACTGGCCAGAGAAGACATCTGAGTAGGAATCTTAGGTGATTCTGTTCTTCCCACCGCCTAGAGAAATGCCAAATTGAAACAAGGTTTTTTTGTTTGTTTTGTTTTTTTGAGACAGGATCTGTATTAGGGTTTCTGCTGCAGTGAAAAGACACCATGGCCACGGCAACTCTTCTTTTTTTAAGCCTGTCTTGGAACTCACTCTGTAGTCCAGGCTGGCCTTTAACTCACAGAGATCTGCCTGCCTCTGCCTCCCAAGTGCTAGGATTAAAGATGTGCACCACCAACGCCCGGCCTCCACGGCAACTCTTCTAAAGGAAAGCAGTTAATGGGGACTAGCTTAAGTTCAGAGAACTAGTCCTTTATCGTCATGGTGGGAAGCATGGGACACGCAGGCAGACACGGTGCTGGAGAGGAGCTGAGAGGTCTACGTCTGGATCAGCAGGCAGCAGGAAGAGAGTGAGACACTGGGCCTGGACTGAGCCTCTGAAACCTCAAAGCTCGCCCCCAGTGACACACTTCCTCCAACAAGGCCACGCCTCCTAATAGTGCCACTCCCTGTGAGCCTGTGGGGGACTGTTTTCATTCACACCACCACAAGGTCTCACTGTGTGGTCCTGGCTGACCTAGAACTCACTGTGTACACCAAGCTGGCCTCAAACTCACAGAAATCCACCTGCCTCTGCCTACCCCACAAAGAACCATGAGTATTTTAAATTTGTTTACAACCTTAATCTTTTAGATACATTGTCAAATTGATTTAAATGAGTATTTTAGTTTTATTTCTGATAACTATGATTTGTTTTTTTGATTTTTGGAGACAGGGTTTCTCTGTAGTTTTGTAGACCAGACTCACACCTGCCTCTGCCTCCCGAGTGCTGGGACTAAAGGCGTGTGCCACCACCGCCCAACAAATGTGTACTTTTATAAGTTGCCTTGGACACCTTTAATCCAAGCACTCTGGTGGCAGAGGCAGGGGGATCATTGTGAATTCGAGGCTAGCCTGGTTTACAGAGTGAGTTCTAGGACAGCCAGGGCTTTAGAAAGAGAGAGAGAGATAAAGACAGAGAGAGAGAGACAGCTTCCCACATATGTGACCATGAGCCAAACCAAAGTAGACAGGCCCTCATTGAGACTTCCCTGGTGATTCTTTTTTTTTTTTTTTTTTTTTGGTTTTTCGAGACAGGGTTTCTCTGTAGCTTTGGAGGCTGTCCTGGAACTCTCTCTGTAGACCAGGCTGGCCTCAAACTCAGAGATCCGCCTGCCTCTGCCTCCCGAGTGCTGGGATTAAAGGCGTGTGCCACCAACGCCCGGCTCCCTGGTGATTCTAAATTGTGTCAAGTTGACAAGATTTTTTTTAAATGTGTATTGGTGCTTTGCCAACAAGATCTGAGACTGTCAGATCTTGCAGTTACAGTTGTTAGCTCCCATCTGGGTGCTGGGAATTGAACCGGGGTCCTCTGGAAGAGCAGTCCGTGCCTTTAACTGTTGAGCCATCTCTCCAGCCCCCAGACTTTTTGACAGGCTTTTTTTTATGTGTGTGTATGTTTTATCTGCATGTATGTATGTGTGCCATATACCCCGGTACCCACGGAGCACTAAGAGGGCCTTGGGACCCCAGGAACTGGAGTTAAGTTGGTTGTGAGCCACCATGTGGGTGTTGGGAACAGAGCTCGGGTCAGGACCTCTGGAAGAGCAGCCATTGCTCTTAGCCACTGAGCCATCTCTCCAGCCCTAACAATTGAAATGAACCATGACGAGGAGTGGCACTTCTGGGACTTGGAGAGTCAGGCCTGGCTTTGCAGGACCAGGGCCTTGGCTGCTTCCCAAGGCAGCACAGGAGGTTCTGTAGAAACTGCCTTCCCTCCTTCTCCCCTTTGGAGCTTAATTTCTGTTTACTCTCTGGCGTCCTCCACTGAAGTGAGCTGTAATTACCATATATTAGCATGGATTTCCATAAAGAGAACACTCTTAGAAATCAACCTGGAGGGAGTCCAGAGAGGCCCTTTTCAGCTTCCTCATTCCGTAGAACGTAGTAAATGTTTACTGAAAGCCGTGCTCAGCCAGAGGCTGGGGTATGGTGGAGACCGGATGCTGGCCCCCGAGGGCCTGTCAAGGAGATCTGTTACTGTGGTGTGCAAACTAGAGGGAGTTAGGAGGAAGGCCATGGCAGAGATGCCCTCAGAGGGGTCAGCACCCTGACTGAGGGACATTGAAGACAGCAGGGCTGGGCTGGCCAGGGAGGGCAAGAGCCCAGAATGACATGAGATGGGCTGGAGGGGCTGGAGGTGGCTCAGTGGCCATGAGACATTGTTGTCCTTGTCGTGACAGGACCAGATGGCTCACAACCAACCTCCTGTAACTCCAGCTCTAGGGGATCTAACTTCCTCACACACACACACACACACACATGAGAGAGAGAGATTGCACAAGCACACACATTTGAAAATCTTTTTAAAAAGCTGGGCAGTGGTGGCGCACGCCTTTAATCCCAGCACTCGGGAGGCAGAGGCAGGCGGATCTCTGTGAGTTCGAGGCTGGGCTGGACCGACAGCCTCCAAAACAATACAGAGAAACCCTGTCTGGTAAAAAAAAAAAAAAAAAGCTGGGCAGTGATGGTGCACTCAGGAGGCAGAGGCAGGAGGATCTCTGTGAGTTCAGGGCCAGCCTGGTCTACAGAGCGGGTTCCAGGACAGCTAGGGCTGCACAGAGAAACCCTGTGTGTGTGTGGGGGGGGACAACAAAGGGTCTGAGGGTGTGATTTATTTGGTAGTGTGCTTACCTGCATGAAGCCCCGGTTGGATCCCAGCACCAAACAAACCAGCCATGGCAGGGCATGCCTATAAAACCTGGCGCTTGAGAAGATGAAGGTCAGGAATTCAAAGCCATCCTT